ATTTTCAGTAGTAATTGGTGTCAATAACAGCACATTCGAGCAATGCAATTTTAGTGAATAAAGTGGTCAACTTTTCCGTGCAGTACTGTACGGATTATACGCTCCTCACCAATTGAGAGTTTGGCCGAAAGTTGTCTCCTTGCTTTTCTGGCCTAGTGCTGTTCTTTTCTCCTTTGCGCCGGTCAAACTGAAGGTCACATCGCTACAGTAAACGAAGTATACCTACACTCTTAGGTACGTACCTATCGTTGGTTTGCTGCTGTCACCTCTTTATAGCTTACTGGTGAGTAAAACCAGTACCGGGTTCGGTTCCTGGCAATGGAGTGACAGCAGCAACAATTTCTTCTCATTAATTTGAGGTTACTTTTAGTGGGTAAAATAACTCAAAAATGAATTCACTAAAGATTGAATTAACGCTACAAAAATTGGAGGTCGATATGAGCCTATGACTTCTCCAAAAAAGAAATTATTATTAAGTTATATTTTTAATTGTCTTTTGGACACCACCATAAATTCACTCAATAAAAGATTTGAACAGTTAAATGAATACTCAGAATCTTGACATATAAAAAAGACTGGAAAAACCAGACCTCAAACTCAGTAGTGATCTCCAATTGAAATTAACTGTAGGCTCTAAATCAGATATAGGAAGATGGTTGTATGTTCTGCGATGAACTCATAAGTTTGAAATCTTTTCTGACTGATCAGGTGTGTGATTACTCCTGTCTTTATTTTAAATTTTATCAAAGATCGTAACTTAAAGAGCTGTATACAAATGTATGGATAACATTGCGAATATTGGTTACTACCTATACCTGTAACTGTGGCTAATGGGGAAAGGAGTTTTTCTAAGCTTAAGCTGATAAAAACCCATCTGCGATCAACAATATCTCAATTTAGATCGATTTAAAATTGCGGAAAACATAGGTTTTGGTGTTTTAATAAAAGAGTTTGCCTGCAGAAAGGCTAGAAAAGTAAAATTTTATTATTTTTTTAAATAAATGATTGTTTCATTATATTATAACATCCTTTTTTCCGTATGGGTTTCAATGGTAGATAAGGGACGCCGTCGAAATCTCGCCCAGGGCGCTGGTAGTGCCAAAACCGGCACTGCAGCCAGGTCATAATAATGATTGTAGTATGTAATCGCAAATAATTGATCTTGTTTCGAGGACATTAAAAAAAATAAACGTTTTGACCATAATCCTATACGGTACAAACAATCAACAGTCGGTGACTTAACTGGTCGAAATCTAAACCCTCGCTCATATTTCATCCCTTTCCTCTACTGAAAGTTTCTGTGTGCAAAATTAATGATGACACATCTGCAGCTAACAAGAACGAAATAGTGATTCCCATCTGTTGGTTTCGATAAACTTATGTATAAGAACTGCTTAATTTTGCAAATGTTACGAGCATCTCCTTGTTCCGAGGTTTTTCTTTTCTCTCTCACAACATTACACTACGAAGTTTTAAATACGATTTATGAAGTAAAAGTTGTGCGGCGCCTGAACTCTAATCATTTCAGAAGTAGAATGCCGAAAAGTTTACGAAAAAGGTTACAGATTAGAATGGATTCCCTCTTTTTTTTTATTAGTTTTTCATCCCTTACACACGAATGTTATTGTTTTATTTTTAATAATCTTCATACCATACTTTTCTGTCAATGCCGCTTCTATTTTAACTGTAATTCCTACTTGCTATCTTATCCTAAATTTGATCTTTATTACATCCTAAATATTTTAGTGAATTAATTTTGCCCACTATAGATAATCACAAATTAATGAGGAAAAATTATTGCTGTTGTCTTTAACTCAAATATGAATTCACTAAAACATTGAATTAACGCTACAAAAATTCAAAATATCTCATTAATAAAAATGATTATACATAGGTTCGACGATTCTGCGACCTATACTTTTACAGGCCTGACGCTGGAAGCTGGCGGAAATTTTAAAATGGCGTAGATGCGCGGTGGCAAAAGTAGGCAGTTTTAGGTATAACGATTGCAACCCTCTTTCTTCAGTATCCCTATCAGGGACGTAGATTAAATATTTAAAAATAGGGATCAGTGAGTAAGTAATAGACATACAAACAGAAGAAGTAATTGTTGCTGTTGATGACAGTGATAGAGATTCCCATGATGACAGTGAATGTGAAAACTAACTGTAAAACAAAAGCAATAGGTTTATTTTTTACGTTTCTACATTATTTTCTAGTACGCTACTGTCCCATCTGTATTAATACTATAATTTACGCCTACTGAAAGCTTATTTGTGTATCGGTTCGAAGTGATTCACCCAAATAGGTCATAAATAAGCATGTACCTGCGCGACCGCTAGCCAGATTCCTTCGTCCGACCTGTACGTATCCTTGGGTTGCTGCTGTTACCTCCTGATAGCTTAGCATACTTCGTTTACTTTCTCTAGCGATTTGCCCCTTCCAATGTTTTGGACGCCCACTGGTAAAATCGGAGGTAGAGAGAAAAGAGCACATTATACTCTCGACTCTTGTACATTAAACATAGTTTTTTGTACAGTACTTGTCAAAAGTATTGTTCAGTCATGAATAGTAGTGCGTGTTGAAAACAAGCTTTAAGACCTTTAATGTGTCTTTAAATATAAACAAACATCTTGTTGATATTTTCAGTAGTAATTGGTGTCAATAACAGCACATTCGAGCAATGCAATTTTAGTGAATAAAGTGGTCAACTTTTCCGTGCAGTACTGTACGGATTATACGCTCCTCACCAATTGAGAGTTTGGCCGAAAGTTGTCTCCTTGCTTTTCTGGCCTAGTGCTGTTCTTTTCTCCTTTGCGCCGGTCAAACTGAAGGTCACATCGCTACAGTAAACGAAGTATACCTACACTCTTAGGTATGTACCTATCGTTGGTTTGCTGCTGTCACCTCTTTATAGCTTACTGGTGAGTAAAACCAGTACCGGGTTCGGTTCCTGGCAATGGAGTGACAGCAGCAACAATTTCTTCTCATTAATTTGAGGTTACTTTTAGTGGGTAAAATAACTCAAAAATGAATTCACTAAAGATTGAATTAACGCTACAAAAATTGGAAGTATCATATCCTAAATAATTTCAACATCTCTTCCCATTTAACATGAGCAAACACTTTTTCTACGAATCCTATGTATAGGCTTTCTTTTTCTTTCGTTTTCTAAAGCAATATCCGTATAGGTAATATGGACTCACATTTTCCTGTTTCCTCTCATCCCGAATTGGTCATCTCCGAAAAATTTCTTCAGCCCTATTTTTAATTTTTCTCTTTACAATTCTAGTTAAAATTTTTGACACATGAGAAGTTAAGCTATATTTGTTCTAAAATTCTCGCAAATATTTGCCCTCCGTCTCGTAACTGAGACCAAATAGTTCAAACAAACGACTTCTAACCTTTTTGACCTGCTTGTAGTAACTTCCACCTGCACTCCATCTATGTCTGGTACCTTACTATACTTCGTTTACTTTCTGTAGCGAATTGACCATTTTATCCACTAAAATTGCATTGCTCAAATGTGCTGTTATTGGTACCAATTACTACTGAAAATATCAACGAGATGTTTATTTATATTTCAAGACATATTAAAGGTTTTAACGCTTGCTTTCGACTCGCACTACTATTCATGATTGAACAAAACTTTTGGCAGGTACTGTATGAAAAAGTATGTTTAATGAACAAGAGTCGAGAGTATAATGAGCTTTTTTCTCCCTACCTACGATTTTGCCAGTGCGCATCCAAGACATTGGAGGGGCAAATCGCTAGAGAAAGTAATGAAGTATACGTATATTAATTAAATGTTTTAATGTTAACACATACTTATTAGAGCAGGTAACACAGTATATATATATATATGAAATCAGTCGGCTAGATCAATCGGCGGAGTTATCTTAATTTTTTGGAAAACATGGGTTTGTATTCTACACATTGTGATTTAACGCTGCGAGATAAATACGTGATTTTTTGTATGGTAACAGACAAAGGTTCACACTAACTCGGTACATTCTCAGTTTTCAATAAGTTGATCATTAAAAGTTGTTATAGGTGTTTAATGTTGATGTATTTTATGGGACGTATATTTCCAATGGAAATGAAAAAATTTAAAAAAGGCCTCTGAGATGCGTTAGAACATAGCTTTGTTTATCTTCCTACAAAATTTCAAATCTCTATTTCAAATATTAAACTCATGATATCCATAATATACATACAATGTAGAAATCTTCCCGAAGTGAGTTAGTTTTTAATATGAAATATTCTCAATTTTTACCCACTACACTTCCTCAAATTAATGAGGAAAAATTTTGTTGCTGTTGTCACCCCCCCCCCCGGGAATCGAACCTGGGATTTCTACATTGTATGTATATTTATATTCAGTATATAGTTACATTAGTTCCACGGATCTGTTACTCATAAGTACGGTTTGTCGTTGTTGCTGTTGTCATCTCACGTAGCTTAATTAGTGGTCAAAGCATTGGCGCGTAAAGCCAAAGAGCCCGGGTTCGATTCCCGGCGGGGCAGTGACAACAGCAACAAAATTTTTCCTCATTAATTTGAGGAAGTGTGTAGTGGCTAAAAATTGAGAATATTTCATATTAAAAAATATCCAGAATAGGTAAGCGTGTTTTTACTTTACGGCGCGAGTACTACTGAATCCCCTTAAGCTCTTTTCTNTGTGACAACAGCAACAAAATTTTTCCTCATTAATTTGAGGAAGTGTGTAGTGGCTAAAAATTGAGAATATTTCATATTAAAAAATATCCAGAATAGGTAAGCGTGTTTTTACTTTACGGCGCGAGTACTACTGAATCCCCTTAAGCTCTTTTCTCATTGACTTACACGAATACTTTAAAGTAAACTTATGTTGTACTATGTATTAAGAAAAATTTCTACTTCGTTTATGCACCATGTATCCGCGGCAGACCCAATTTTATTTTATTTTTAGGTTCATAATGTATAAGAAATTCATGATTAGAAAGATAAAGTCAACTTACCTTTCTAAACTACCTAAACGTTGATGAGATCTTGCTAAATTTAAATATGATTCCGCTCTCATATTTGGATTGTCTAATTCTTCTGATATATACAATTGTTTATGAGCCAGTTCCAAGGCATCTCTGAAATCAAAATAAATATATGAGTATAAATAAAAACGCACTCAGTAAAAGAAAAGATATCAATAATCAGACTCATAATTTCTACTTATTTTTAATTCGTTCGTTTACGTTCGCTCGTAAGCGTCGTGGCTCTAATTGATCAGTGCGTGTCACGCGTTTGTCAACCTCCCCACATCCCGTGCAATGTACCTGTGTATTATTATTATTGTTTCGCTTTTTAATATATTCAGGCTATTTACAGTCACTTTCCTTTATCAAAACGAAAAAACAACTCAGTATCACCAAAAAATTCAATTACATTTATCTTCCTCTTAACTTTTCACATATGCTTACAATTCGTATCTTACGGTAAATAATCTAGATCTAGAAGAAAAAAGAAAATACTACAAATGGCGTGGTGTGCGCCATCTGTAGTACGATGCTACATTTGAGGATTACATATGCTCCAACAAGGTCCATTTAAAAATATGGATATCTACTTGCTGAAACGAATCCCGGCGTAGCTCACCTCAACGTGATAGGCACGTTACCATAATCGAACAAAATAATTCGAAGTGGTCTGTATTCTGTCGAAACTGCCAGACGCGGATCGCGATTTCGATCTTTTTGGATCTCATCAACGCGTCGCAGGCAGCTGTTAAGACAGCAGGTAAAGGTTGGTCTGTGTTCTGTCGGAGCTGCCTGCAACGCGCTGATGAGATCCAAAAAGATCGAAATCGCGATCCGCGTCTGGCAGTTTCGACAGAATACAGACCACTTCGAATTATTTTGTTAGAAGAAAAAAATTTAAATGCAAAACAAATTTTACATTTTTATAAAATCATCTATAGTAGTAACCACTTGGTTCGAATTGGGTGTTAACGTTCAGAAACATAAAGAAGAAAAAGCTTCGAAGGAAGTCTCTGGCGCTTTTCCGATGAAAGAAGTGCATTATGAAGGGATGAAATAAGCTGTAAAAGAAAAACAAAATGCTTGAAGAGCCATAAATGCGTCTTATACACGGAGAATGTCAATAACGGGAAGACAACAATGAAAAACGTTCAGCAGCATCGGAACGAGTATTGACATTGAGTTTATTACCACTAGTAAGTGTGAGTAGTAGTAGCCATAAAATGAACTTTTCGTGCTTGTGAAGATTAGACGCCTGCTGAAGAGCAAGCTCTAGAAGTCTACATAGACACTCTCATAAAAAGGAGTTTGATCCTGTAAAGAATTTTAATCAATAATAAAAGCACGATGACAACATTGTCAAGTCTGTAAGGTTTTTCTGTCAACAGAAAAAATGCATATAAAAATGTATTTGTGTTTTATAATGATTTATAGGTATTTGTTTTGAATTAAAAACACTTCAATAAATAAAACACGATGGTTCATAACAATCTATTTAATCTATTATAGCTCGTTCGGAAGAGATGATTTTGCTGTGGAGGTGGTCGATAAACTATATCTCATTGAGAAAGATAGGGAGCTAATATAGTCATAAGTATATAACTTAATAAATATACAAATAAGTTCTGAAATAAAGGTACAACAAAATATATATATACAAAGAAGAGGCTAGATACAAGAGGTAAATACAACACAGATACAACAATAGATTCAAGAAATTACAAGGGGTGCAGATGGTTAGACATTCTAGGAAGGAAGGTATAAGGGAAATTTGGCAATAAAAATGAAAGTAGAAATAGTCACGTACAACTAATAAATAGATGGTAATATGCTCAAGATGAATAAACTAATAACTATAATAAAATAAACACAATGTCCAATTCACAACAGTATTTATAAAATAAATATAAAAAATTAAGACATTAATAAAAAGAAATGAAAACATTGCAAAACATACAAATTCTTTACTCTTCGTTGAAAACCTTTCCCTCTTGCCTAAAAGGCTCCGATTGACACTTTTTTTTATATCTCTTCAGCATCCAACAGTAGTCCACCATTAGTTTCATATCCTATTGCTAATGATATTTTTTCACCATTTGTTTTATGTCTTGATAAAAACATTCACCCCACTATTTACCAACGTCACCTACATTTGCATGGAAATGGTCTAAATGTGTATGTAAAAAATTTATGTAGAATTTCCTTAAAAGCTTTCCGGTCACTTCCTTCGGTGATGATCATTACGTCTTCAAACTCATCTGTTTTCAATTAGAAGTATAATTTTAAGACCAACAAATATGCCTTCTTTAATCGTCGCCTCTGATAGACCAGGAAATTTTCAGTTTTTCACACAAAAATTGAATCTGTTTAAACCTAGCAAATTAAATACACAGTGAAGGCTTGTAATGGAGATAACGTACTAAATAAAACGCCCATATTTAAGTGAATTAAGATATCTTGTGCTAATGAAATTTGATTTACTGTCCGGATGATTGCTAATTTTCGAAAAAATTCTGTCAGAACATTATACGTATAAGTTATCTAATCGATTGATGCAACATGACAGCCTTCGCATAATCAGCAGCGATATCCCGCGAGCTTTTGGCTCGTAATTCGATACCATGTTAGATCAATTTCTCTACTTAAGTTACTGAGATTTATTCTTGTTCATTAAATCCAAAGGAGTCATATAGGCTGAAGGTATAGTGGGGAAAAGGCAGACAGAGGTATTATAACCAATAGAAACGAATATGGGATACTATGCAATTTTTAAAGTTGCAACTATCGTGAAAGAATATGATTAACTCACTATATGTATATAAAAAATATAGAAAACACATAGTAACTTTTCACTGATTTATTTAAAAATTCAACATGTTTTGACAGTGGTCTATCATTATCAAGAATAGACAAACATACTGAGTAAGAATTGGCAGCAAAAATTGAAGTGCACCCTGTTTAGAAGATAAGTGAACTATCTAGGCCGTGTCATAACATCGGAATAAATTAAGTCCGACCCTACGAAGTTAGCATACCAAGTTAGCATACCAAAGCATCGGCACAAATTTAGAAGTTTTCTGGGACTGCTCCTACTGTCGAAGTTTCAGACGAGGATTTGCCGATATAGCCCGATCACTACATAGACTTACAAAAGATGTAATTTCATTCCAATGGGCACCCAAATGTCAAAAAGCATTTGACAACTTGAAGACTACACTCTCTGGACTCCAATCTTGACATCCCCACAGTTCAGCGAACGCGTTATCGTTGATGCCGATACTAGTAGTGTGAGACTTGGTCCAAAGTATAAGACGAGAGGAAAAGGACATCGGGTACTTTAGTAAAACACTCTCAAAACAAGAACGAAATTATTGTGTGACCCGTCGAGAGCCACTGGCTGGGATTAAAACATTAGAACATCTCTACAAGTACCTATAAGGACTGAAGTTCCTTTTAAGGACGGATCACGCCTTCCTGAAATGGCTAGAAGACCTTGCAAGAAAAACTGCAAACATTGTTTATGTGTGGAATCGAACCACTGTTCAGCCTGAGGAATCCTGGAAAGATAAGTAATTGATCGATGGCCAAATGAACGACGAAAATATTGGTCCAATATGACCATCGTGGGCACACATGAGCCACCTCAATCATCAAACGAAAAGTTATTGGGCCCAGTAAAATACCCTTGCCTTAGACCACAGAATTTTGAAGAGAACATGGGAGAGTCCAGATAAAACCAGAAGCAAACATCAAGTGGTACTTCCGAGGAACAAAGTTTCAAAAGTTTTAGAAGTAATCCACCGCGAAGGACATTTCGGCGTTACAAAGCGATATGGAAGACTGGCACAGAAAATCGTCGACATGCGTCGGCAGTAAGGGACAGCAGACGAGAAGTCGTGGACGAATGCAACAATACAATCGTATTCAACGTGGCAGAACCTTTTTTAATGACCGACTCCGATAACCGATGCATCTTGATCATCATGGATTACTTTATATACAAGCGATCTACGGGTAAAAAGTTCTTTTTTAAGAATATGATGTCTAAATAAAATAATTCGAAGTGGTTTGTATTCTGTCGAAACTGCCAGACGCGGATCGCGATTTCGATCTTTTTGGATCTCATCAGCGCACTACAGACCACTTCGAATTATTTTATTCGATTAAGCTAACGTGCCCATCACGTTGAGGTTGGCTACGCCAAGATTCGTTTTCAACAAGTATATATCCACACAAGTGGACCTTGTTGAAAAATACGTAATCCTAAAATATAGCATCGTGCTACAGATGGCGTTCACTGTGCCGTTTGTAGTATTTTCTAATATGATGTCTGTTTCTGTGAAATCACTTTTGTCCGCTATCAAAAATACAACACTTGTGTTATCATTGAACAATGAATAAATATCAAATTTCTTTTTAGTATCTGAAAAAGTGGATCTTAAATAATAGATATGCTAAATGCTATGTACCTATAGATGTATTTTTGAAATAGAAAGGATCACAGTTTTGAAGCACCCACATTGTCGGGCAGATTTTGTTCCACATGCCATTTTTCAAATCTAAACTTAACTATTTTGTCTTTAATTGAAATTGAATAAAAATCTTGTAAAAACATGTAAAAAAACTGTGCTTTATTAACACCGACAACAAGTTTTTAATCAGAGGTGTGAAAAGGGGAATATGTAACACCTGTGCAGCAATCGTGAACCGCATATTTTCAACGCAAAAATTTAATTGATCGTGAACTAAAATCTAAAACTCTTAACGCTTACATAAACCCTTTATCATTCTTTGTAGTTTCTTTGAATTTCCCCAGGCATGCAACTAACCCTTTCGCTGGTAACAAAATCATCGGTTCGATATAGACAATGAAAAGGAACTTTTAAATTATTTATTAGTAGTTTTGACCCGTGATTTCATCCATGTGAAACTATTTGTAATTAATATTACACTAATTAATAAACAAAAAGTAGCCCAGTTCATTTTTGACAACCTCCTTTTGAAGATAAGGCCATACAGACAGGGAAAACTGTCGTTTGTAGCTTAATAGCATTTAAATAATAAAATGAACTTAAAAAAGAGCAGTTATTTCAGTATGACAGACATAAACT